AGCTTGGTACTACTACTACAGGTGATCACTTGCTTTGTTTCTAGGGTGAAGGTGCATATAACCTAAAATCTGTTACAGAAACAACCCTGCCGAACACCCTTCGATGACTGACATCGAACTCGAAAAGATCCATCGCGGCAAAGGAGACGTCAAAGAGAAGGAAAGCACACCCATTAAAGTAAGTTGCCGGATAGAACTCCAACATACTCTCCTCATCATTACGGACTGTCGGGGCGGGTCAGTGCGGCTGCGTTTTCCGCGGTGCCAAAGTCTTTCTGCACCAGTTGTTGAAGCGAGCAAATGACATGACAGCATTATATCCTTCGTATTACTCGTTTTCTACCACTTTTTGTCGCATACGCGTTTCAACGAAAAGGCTGAGAACGGCTTCAAACAGTGTGCGCACTCCTACTGGCTGATACGCCCCGACAGTCCGTAATGATGAGGAGAGTACATTACACTGCTTACCGACAAAGTTGATCCATGGGCGAGCATAGCGCGCTGAAATCTGTGTGAAGGTACCGTTTCCGCCGTTTCGAAATACGTGGCGACGCTGGAGGACTGCACTCGTTTTTTTTTTCGTCGCAAGCAAAGCACGACACGCAACAGACGCGCAACACGCCGCACGACCTACCATGCGCTTAGCCGTAGCCAGACGCTCTACTTTTCTGCGCCTCCTCACGTTTGAGGAATGCCATTTTAAGTGCAGCTTGAGTTCCTGCCAACACGCTCGCCGCTTAACTTTTGTCACCCCATTTCCTCAGTGAACCGGAGAGCATGCCCGCCAAGTGCGGCATGCGCGGCACCTGTCGCATAGTAGGCGGGAGATAGGTAGTCACAATCCAGCTTCTCCAGCTTCATTGCGACGCACTTCCAAGTGAAGATAGTGGCACCGTTCTACAACTGTGCACTTGCTCACCTCGTCCATGAAAAGAAGTCCAACCAGGCATGCCAGCGTGCAGTGTAGAAGTCCAACCAGGCATGCCAGCGTGCAGTGTGTCTTTGAGATATCTTCCACAGATCGATACCGAATATTGCTTGGCGGCGAATTACCTCATGATTTTTACCTACCTCTTTGCGGAAGGCTTTTTGGAAATGCTCTGAGATCACCTTGAATTCCTTACTTTCAGGAAATCATGACTCATCCGGTGATGTGGGCAGTGTGGTTGTCTGCATTCGGTGAACTCATGATGTCGCAGTTTATCGTCATGTATGCACCAACCTACCTCAAAGAGGTAAACCATTCGGGATGAGTAATAGGAGATAACAACCACTTCACTTAATTCTATCTAGTTTCTCGGAATGCAGTCTAGAAATTTCATAGCGATCTTCTCTACGTTACTCAACGAGCTCCTTAACACAACGCTTCTAGAAAATTGAAGATGGCAATGGTCCCATTAGAATAGAACCACAAAACCGATTAGTACTCTCAGAAAGTCCATCGTGGTTAAATACACGTCACGAGTCGGCCGCAGCACTGAAGGGTAGATATTCGGAACGCCCGGAGGCATTGTTCACAGTCTGCGGTCCAGCGTTTCTCTCAGCGAAAAGCTTTCGATATGTATCGTTAGGCTAAAGGGTTTTGGTAATCGACGGGCGTTTCGCCAAACCGCGACGTTTTTCGCCTTCGACGAAACGCTAGCTCGATCGCCGTGGCGTTTTTCGCCAGCGAAATCGATACACATCTATTGCTTTTCGCCCAACCGCCGAACCGCGGCGGTTCGGCGAAACTAGCGGTTGGCGATTCTCCGATCGATGACTATTTTTTGCTTTTCTCCCAACCGCCGTTTCGTCAGGGTCGCAGACTGTGAACAATGCCTGATAGCTGAAAAGGGGAGGCGGAAATGGCGCCCTTCCGTGGGCAAAATCATAGGGTTTTCGATGAAATGGACGTCCTCTACATGGGTTTCACCTGGCAGGTTGCACAAGTGAACGGCTGAGGCTCATTCAGGATGCCTTGAGCGCGGGGTGCCTACATTCAGGGAGCTTCGGTGTTTTTAAAATTGTGGTGTCCTTACGACTCCTCCCCCGAGGAAAGTCTCGGCGCGACCCCTAACACGGTTCTCCTCTTAACAGATTACCTCGAAATTTAAATGCCGTGAGGGGCGGCAGGGGAAAGGGGCAGACACCTCCAATTAATTATAGAACTAGTAGTTTTGGCGCGCTGCTGAATAGACGGGAGGGTGGCTGTGTACTGAGCCTGAAATGGGAGCCCGTTGACAACAACAAAAAAATTCTCTCGTGTCCGTGAAATTACGTTTTGTCCCCTCTCCCCTCTTTCCAATTGCGAAAAAGCTAGCGTTGTTCTTGAGCTCACTAGTTTACTGTCTCTCGGAAGTAGGCTCCTAGGAATGCCAAGATAATAAGCTTCTTTATATTTGGATATGTATTATCTACAGGTTCTTGGATTCCGAGTTGCTCATACTGGTTACTTTGTTGCGGTACCTCGTGCACTTCACTTAGCTTTCAAAATTATTAGCGGTATTGCGAGTGATAAGATTGAGTGAGTTCGCCTAGCAAATGTTCCTTACTTCATCATACTAGCAGTTTCGTACTCATGGGTATTCCAGATTCTTAACGGAGAAAACGAAAATGAAGATCTTCAACACAATTGCCTTGACGGTTGGTTGTTATTTTCTTTTTCTTTTCTATTTATTATTTTCTATTTTCTCTTTTTTCTACAATTTAGTCTTTTTCGATAATTTACAAAAGCGGTACATGTTAAGGTATCAGGAACATTCTTCTGTATACTTGGATTTTTGTCAAGAGATTTGGCAAACTATGCACTCATCGCACTGCTCATTATTGAATGTTCGACGGGTTTCATCTGTGGAGGGTTCTATAAATGCGCTACACTTGTTGCCAGGTAAAAACTTGGACGTTTAAAGCTAAATTAGGGTGTAGGTCCCTCGGAGACGAAACTTTTTACCGGACCAAGCCGTAGGATTCTATTCCTTCAGCAAAACCCCATGACTGATAGTCGGTAGATCGCACAGAAGCTCCAGGTACTGATTTGAATATAGCACCTTCCTGTCCAACAAGTACTATTTTTGCTGAGATGCGTTTTTTTCCAATATCTACAGCTAGTTCCTTTCCCAAAGGGTGAAGGTCATTGATTGTGATAACTAC